TACTGTTCTTATTTTGGAAGTGTTATAACATGATACGCAGTACTTTCGTGCTGGCCCATCTGCCAATCACTTCTGAGCTCCGAGGAGTCTCGCTTGTAAACAGCCCAATTGTTGATTTTTTTCAGAATTGTTTTATCATCCAAATGTATAGGTTTATGTTTGATAATAAAAAAAACTACTATCCCTGGATAATATATCTTCGATATCTTGTTTCTCCAATGCCTTCTTTTTTACTGCTTTCATTAATACACGCTTTGGTTGCTAACCTTTTTGATGTCGCATCATATGTGGTTTGAACAATTATTTACGATTCACAGCTAGCTTTGAAAACACATAAGAATTAATTCATAAGTGCTACATTTTGTATTCAGGATACATAAACCCATTTTAATAGAAATACTACTGTGAAAACCAAATTGGTTTTTGTTTATTGACACCCTGTATATTAGTATTATTAAGTTAGAGAAGGGAATTATAAATAATATTTTGTAATCTCTCTTTGCCAATAAAAATGATTTCAGCATTTTTACAGTGTAAAAAAAAACAACAAAAAACTTTCTTCTAGCATCAATTAGGAACGCTTTTTTGAGTACTTTTGGTACTGCATAAGTTTTTAATTACATGTAATATTAGATTAGAAAGAAATAATCACAACATTAAATTATGTTTGGTTTGGTATAAATCTACCCTATAGGCTATCTGCACTTTGTCCATCTGGGAAATCGAACCTCTGACTTTAGCACTGAAGAGTTATAAACTTAACTTTGACTCACTGAGGACATATTAAATTATGCGTATAAGAAGAACAAGACTGCAATGGTAATTACACAATGTTCCCAATTAATAACATGTAGATGGCGCTGGTAAATATAAGTGAGAAAAGCACTTCGTGTAGGGTAAGTTTCACGGGTGTTTTGTTTTCTAATTTTTGTAATATGTAAAGTAATAATGTTATTAACATTATTGTTAATTAACTATTACTGCTAACAGTATTACTTGTTACTGTCAATATATTAAGTATTATAAGTTTTATTGTTAATACCATTACTAATACTAGATTCACTGTGTGTGACTGTGACGTACTATCTTCAAGTTCACGGTCGAATGGATTATTTAAAATTTATTTCTTAATATTTCTTATGACTCCGTGCAAAAATGTTTGACATAACGTTTCTCTTTGCGTTATGCATTTTAGAGAATTGTTGAACGGTAAATGCGAAGCATTTTGTTACAATATGAGGCAGGTACGTCTGATGACTGAGAGAGAGAAACCATGTCATATTTACTTATTCAAGTTATTGTCACCAAACAAGTCGAGTGATAATTTTCGAGTGTTCATTTTGTTAGACAGTAAGATGTGGTTATATAAAGTAAAGACCTAATCATTTGACTTAAGGTGGATTTACCGAGACAAAAATAAACCCGTTCTGTAACAAACTTCTGTAAAATTATATTCCATAGAAAAAGGTTTTTTACACATTTCTTATACGTTGGGTGCAAAAACATGTCTCATTTATTAACAATCCAAACAGAAACAATCATATATTGAGAGATGTTGTGGAGACTGGGTTTTATAATTTCAGATGAACTTCAAAACATTTTTATGGAAGATTAATATATGAATTTGATTGAAATAAGCAGTAAACAGCCTGTGATAAACTGGAATATTGTAGAAGCTAGCAGGTGTTTTAACAACAGTTTTAGTGTACAGCTAATTTGTGAAATTAAGTTGTTTGTGGTACAACTGTATAGATGGGAGCATGAAAACCTGAAATTTGTAACTAAGTGATATAACTCAAGCATTATGCTCTTTAGTACCTAGTAAATAAATGTTTTATTAAATTAAGTATTTTAGTTTATAAATTATGTATTGATAAAATTAAGTATTTCTGTGTTTTGAATATACTTTAATTGGCTAGAACAGGGTTGCCCAATCTCTTATGTTTAGAGGCCTGGACTGTAAAGGATAGAAACATATTACTGGAATGGGAATTGCCTTTTAAAATTTATTTGTGAATTAAATGTTCAAGAAGTCCTATTTATCTAGGTAAATGTTTACTTTCAAAATATGATACACAAGGCTAAGAAAGGTGTTTACACTTCCGCATACAATTACTTTGGTCATTCTTAAATTAAAATTAATTACAAATCCTAGTGAAAATTTCTGCATCTAAATTAAAATTTCTCATCTCATTCACACCATGCTATTGACAGATTCCATAAATACATGACATGTATACCACTGTTTCTTAGGTTACAACCAAAGGTCAGCTCTATAATTGAGTTTATTCAGCCTACACACTCTTACCTGATTATTTATTTACTTGAACAATACTAAATATATAGAAAGATTTAAGTGAGAAGTGAGCCATGTTATTTAGGAAGACATCCTACATGTCCGACGAAACCCTCAGAATCTTACATGTTATACAAAAACTTGAGAGTGTTTTTTTTTTTTGGAATGCAATTCATGCAAAGCAATCTTAATTTTTTTAACATACGTAGCACTTCTCATTTTAATCATAATTTCCAGAATAAAAATCCAAAAAGGTGTTCAGTTCTAAACATTAAATCTTAAAGTACATAATGCTTGTATTTTGTTATTCTCATTTTTTTAGAATGAAACTCATAAAAGATATATATTAATGCATCTTCCCCTTTGCTGTGACTTGTCGTGGATATGGATGTTGTTGAACCTATATAAGGACAGAGAAATGAGAAGTACAAGGAGGAACTTGCTTTTAAAAAAGAGTTGCTGAAAGTCTGTATTTTTACACACAGCTGAGACCCACATTAGATATGTTTACCTTGTTGTACGGGTTGTGGAAATACCTATTCCAGAAGGATGAGTATTTTGTTCTTATACTAGGATTGGATAATGCTGGGAAAACTGTAAGCACTTTATATATATATCTATAATAGTTTTAAGTTATTATGTTTCATCTTTTATTTTTAATTTGCTACTTGTTTAACTCATTCTGCTGGGTGAATTTTGGACCCCATTTCTGTATGAGTAAAGTAAAAGTGTTTGGAGTGCAGTTATCTCACCATAGCAATAATAAATCAACTACGAAATGATTGAAGTTGAACTCTGAGCCAGTGTTCAGCTTATTGGCTGTATAGCTGAGTCTTTGATAAGTAAACCTACATTATATATCAGCTTAGTCTCTGATCGTCACGAACAGTAATCTGTAAAATGCTCATTGTGTTGTTGTTTCACACAGCAGATTAGAAATAGTCAGGAAAAGGAATTTTGTGTGTGACATATGTAACAGTGTAACAATTTGTAGCTCACCTAGAAGGTAGTATTTTCTAAACTTTTGTGTTTAAACCAAACTTGTCAGTGGATCTTTAGTCTATAATGTTTCTTTTTTCATAGAAATGTAGCTTACTTTATGATAACTGATTCAGTTTTGACAGTATTATTTTAAATCATATTGTTGAATTTGTATCCTGTACTGTTTAGGGATATTCACAACCTTGATAAGTTGATCCTAATAGAGTTTAGTTAATTTAATAATTGAGTGACAAGTAATGTACTCATGCCACATGTCTTTTATGAGCTGAATAGCAAATGAAATCACACTAAATAGTATGCATCAAAAGTTTTTGTTTTTTTCAGACATATTTAGAACAAACCAAAACCAAATTCAACAGAGGTTATAGAGGAGCCAACCTTGACAAGATTACAACAACTGTTGGGCTTAATAGTAAGTATGGTAGAATCTCAAAACAAGATTTTCGAAAGATACATCTTCCTTCATTCCACTTCATCTTAACACTTTCATACATCTTCCTTCATTCCACTTCATCTCAACACTTTCATACATCTTCCTTCATTCCACTTCATCTCAACACTTTCATACATCTTCCTT